TCAACCATTTATTAAGTCCAAAGGTTCACATACTTTTTCCTCCCTGCACTGTGAATGTTTACATGTTTATGTGCAATTTAAACAATTTTTTTTTTTGCTTATAAGATTCACAAGGGAAAAGGAATTATTTTCATCTAATGTTTTCATAAACTTGTAGAGATTATGGCAAGCAGTACTATGACTTCTATTGTAACTTAATGACGTTCATGTCACATTTTATGCCAATATTCATGAACATCCAAACAGGCCAAGGGGTACATTTACTTCCCTATGGGAATTGTAACAAAAATGAACACTCAACTGGAAGCTTCTATTCACAAAGCTATAAAGCTATCAATTTACGCTAGCGCTTTACATTAGTATATTGTTCATGTCACATCAGTCCCTAACCCTCAAGGGGTGCACAATCTAAGGTCCCTAATCAGCATTCATGCATGCACATATAGGGACAATTTAGACAGGAGCCAGTTAACCTACCAGCATGTCTTTGGAGTGTGGGAGGAAACTGGAGTACCCAGAGGGAACCCACGCAGGCACATGGAGAACATGCAAACTCCAGGCAGGTGGTGTCGTGGTTGGGATTTGAACCAACGACCAGTTGCCTAGTACTGCCAGGCGGAAAATGCTAACCATTTAGCCACTGTGCTGCCCTGACAGAAATATGGCACCTACCTTTGTACCACATCATGGTGATCATTGTATATACAATATCATACCGTATTTGTGTAATCTTTTAAAGGCATCTGCTACTTTGCCATGATTTCCCATTCCTGTTAAAAAAACTGGCATACATTTACTAGTATAATATTAATTCAGCAAATTCAGCAAAGGCACTGAAGTAGCACAACGGTTGTTTATTAGATTGAATATTTTTTTTAGTGACAGAAAAAAAATGGAGACTGATTTGGACAATTTGTAAACAAGAGCTAACCTTACATGAACCTTCTTACTTTTACAATAATAAGCTTTTTTTTTCAGTCTTCATTTAATGATCTTAAATCACCATGTTCCACAAGCAAGAAAACCCATAACTGATCTATTATACAATCAATTAAAACAGCACTAATTAAACATTTCATCCAGGTGGAACCCTAGAACATACATGGGCTTAAATCAAAGCTTTATTAGACTAATTACAATAACATTGTTGTTGTTTTTTTTTTTAAAAGAGTGGCACTTCTACGCAATGCTGTACGTTTTTATATGTATGGCTAGATTCACAGCATGGAGGATGCAGCAGCTGAAAGCTATGTTTACACCTGTGATGATGGGAAGCCTGCTCCTGGCTCCGCTCCCAGAATAAATTGGAATATAATGCCAAGCGAGACCAAGGACCTAAAATAATTACTTGAAAGCACAGCAAGAGAGGCTCAGAAGAGAGTGACAGATAATCTCCCCATGACCTCAAAGTAAAATGCACAGGTTATTGCTTACAAGATAGACACTGTCCTCAAAGAATCAGGAGTGCTTTGTTAAAAAAAAAAGACAACACATATATAGATGGGGACAAGCTTCACTGCTATTGTAATTATGGATATAGTAAACAGAAAATTATATCAAACAGCTGACAAGTCTTACAATGCTTGTATGAGTGCTGTGCTAACAAAGTTTGAAAATGTTTAATTTCTAATACTTTTGTGTAATATATTTTATCTTTTTGAAGAATGTGATGTGTTATTTTGTAGAAAATTACTTTTTTTTTTTCTTTAAAAAAAAAAAAGGTTTTTTTTGCTTATACAAGGGAAAAGGAATTATTTTCTAATGAAATATTCTTCATAAACTTGGGAAGAATTATCAGTTTTGGCAAGGGTAAAATGACTTCAATTTAAAATGAAGTTCATGTCACAGGGCTGGCAAGTATTCAGAACATCCAAACAGGCCAAGCCGTACATTTACTTCCCTATGGGAATTGCTAAACCTCCTCAACTGTGAAGTTTCTATTCACAAAGCTATAAAGCTATGATGTCTGCTAGGCTGCAGGTTAGTATCATTGTTCTTGTGCAGATATGTAGACTGTAAAGGTGCCCCTGGGTACAAGATAGAAATCAGCAATGCATGCACAATCGGGTTTATTTTACAGAGGGGGGGAGGGGTAGGAGATAAGAGGAGAAGACAGTTGCTAATTGCAAAAAGGTTATCTTGGAGAGAATGACAGCATCAGCTCCAGTGTTCTAACATATCCTATCAACTTTCCCTTTGGGAGCTGTTATCAGCCTCTGCTCACAGTCTTGAGATTGTTGCCTGAACTGGCCGGATTGGTCGGTTATAATCTCTTGACTATGACAAATAAAAATGATGGATACTAACCACTTGACCTCCGGAATATTTACCCCCCTTCATGACAGCGCCATTTTTTTTGCGATATGGCGCTACGTTACTTTAACTGACAATTGCGCAGTCATGCAATGCTGTACATAAATGACATTATTGTCATTTTTTTCCCCACAAATAGAGCTTTCTTTTAGTGGTAATTGATCACCTCTGTGTTTTTTTTTGTGTGTGCTATAAATGAAAAAACACTGACATTTAAAAAAAAAAAAAAAAACCACGATTTTTTACTTTCTGCTATGAAACATATCCAATAAAAAAAATGAAAAGTCAAATTTCTTCATAAATTTAGGACAAAATGTATTCTGCTACATATTTTTGATAAAATAATATCCCAATAAGTGTATATTGATTGATTTGCACAAAAGTCACAACGTCTACAAATGGCGGTATATATACTGGAATTTTTTTTATACTAGTAGGAACCAGTGACACTAATACAGTGATCAGTGCTAAAAATATACACTGTCACTGTATTACCGACACTGGCTGGGAAGGGGTTAAACATCTAGGGCAATCAAAGGGTTTAGTTGTGTGCCTAGCCAGTGTTTTGTGAGCATTGTGCACTGTTTTTACTAGGCAATCTGCTAGATTTTATTCCTGGAATAAAATCTAGCATATCGCTGTTGACATAACACAGCTCTGCCTTGTTTACATAAGCAGAGCTGTGTTATGTTAGTTGCTGCTCTGCCATCAAAAGGTGTCAGCGTGCATTCATTGGCCGGCACCTGTTAATTGGACAGCAGAAGTGGCGTTCAGGCAATGAAGCAGGCACGTGCTCCCCAATTGCAAAAGTGCAAAATCACTTTTAGACCGGTGATTTTGCACAGAACATCCGCCATTGTAGCAGTAAATCTGCTATAGTACGGACGGCAAGTGGTTAACAATAATGCAAACAGCCAACACACATGACACTCTTCTTCAGTGTATGTAGAATAAAAAGATCATTCCTTTGTTAGCAATCCTTGATTGTATGCACTTTCAATGTTTGAATGCAATCCCTCCCTCTCTCATATTAACTCCCACTTTCCTAGCTCTCTCATATTAACTCCTACTTACCTAATTATCCAAAATTATTTTCAAAAAAGTCATACCTTTGGTGACCATAAAGCCATACTTTACCACACCTAATAGCGATGTAGACAAAGTAAAGTAAAGAGTAAGAGTTAGGTTAATTGAATTTTATTTACAATGTTTAATTGTAGCATGAGAAAACTATGCCACAGAGCATTTCTTGAAACATACAGTGGGTGTTTGCAAACATATGTAATGCAAACTTGATACCTGAAATTAAAGTGGTTGTAAGAGATCAAGGTTTTTTACCTTCATGCATTCAATGCATGAAGGTATAAACCTTCTGTGTGCAGCAGCCCCTTCAATAATTACCTGAGCACCATCGTGATCCAGCGATGTGCACGAGATCCTCGGCTCTCCAAAGACTCTGCCTTCTCATTGACTGAGACTGTAGCTGGAGCCAATCACATCCAGGGAGCCAATGAAAAGAGAGAGAGGGGGCGGAGTTGAGCCTCTGTGTGTGAATGAACACACAGAGCAGTGGCACCAGAGTGAGCCTGCTTGGGTGCCCCCAAAGCAAGCTACTTGCTCTGGGGGTACTAGGCTAGGCAGGAAGGAGGGGCCAGAAGAGCCGGCAGGGGACCCAAGAAGAGGAAGATTGAGGCTTCTCTGTGCAAAACAACTGCACAGAGCCGGTAAGTATGACAAAAAATAAAAATTGCCTTTAATATCACTTTCAGATGACCCAGAGCTTGCAGCAATCAGTAACAGATGCATCCTCCTTTCAAAAGGCTTCATATATCACAGAAGTCTAAACAAAAAGTGTCTACTGTACCCAATAGGGTTGACCAGTCATGTTCTCAGGGTGATGAGGGCTAAGCAGCATGTATAACCAAAGGCAACATCAGAACTAGAAAGGTATGTATGAAACCATTCTGATTGGACTAACAGTGCAGCAAACAGGTACCAGTGACAGGCCACTAACTCACCTGCCAAGTAGCCTAGTCTTGTTGTCAATTTAATCTCAGTGTAAACAACAAGATATTTTTAAATAGGCTGATGATATGGCATGCATTTTTACATTTTTAGATCGTATACACTATATATCCAAAACTATGTGGAAACCCCACCAAAATAATACGTTTGGGTGTTTCTCATGTATGGTACTGTTAATTTTATAACATACAAATATTTTAAACTACTGTGCATTTTCAACCATGTGGCAACACTTTTCTGTTCCAGCATGACTGTGTGCCCTTGTCCACATAGGTCCATGAAGACTTGATTCCACAAGTTTGGTGTAGAGGTACATGAGTGGTTTGCATAAAGCCCTAAAATCAGCTATGATGAACGCCTTTGGGAAGAACTGGAATGCTGACTGTAAGCCTGGTCTTCTAGTCCAACCTGACCAAATGCTCTTTTGGCTTAATGTGCACAAATTCACACATGCAAACGCCAAACTCCCATGGAAAGCCTGTTTTAGTGGCAAAGTAGGTTCATCTCCAGATTAATGCCCACTCACTTTGCAATGCATTATTGAATAAGCACATCAGTATTTTAGGAACATAGTCTGCACAGCTGTAAACATAAAGAGACAAAATGTTTTATCTTTTTAGAGTGACAAGTATGAAAAAGAGGATACAGTAGAGATTCCTTACCTCAGTACACTGAACACTCTTGCCATTTTCCCAATAGCTCGAATCTTGTTTCTGATTACTTCCTTACGAGCTGCAGCTGTTGCTCCTGTAATTAACACAATTACAACAACCGTCAATCTCACAAACTAAAGAACATGTGAATGTACACTACATGCATTGTCTTACTGACAAATTCAGTTATGCGTAAGTGCAAAAGAACAAATCTGGGTCTAGACAATATATGTACATACATTACACATTTTATTTTAATAACATTATGGAATATAAAGGATAATGACTGATCACTATACACAGCCCAATTAACAAATTGACAGAAAATTCAAGAGTAAATGTGGCATTTTTAGAATAAGGATTCTAAATTTGCTTTTCAGCAACATGATCAGACACATACATATACATGCTACACATTCATAACAGGTTATGTCAACACCATTTTTTTATGCACACAGTCTGAAAATCTCTCTTTTTAAAGGCATTGGAAAGAACAACAGTCTAGAAAGTTTTTTTTTTTTTTTTAAGAACTTTAAGCAGTGTCCATGTGCAAATCCCCATCCACCCTCTTATGCATATTATTGTGTATTAAAGAATACTGGAACACAATAACATCCACAGTACATTAAAAATATAAGGCCCATAATTGAGAAAATGAAATAAACAATACATACTACAAATTCCCTCCATTTCTGTGGATTGTTGGACTATTTTACAGCTATTCCTCTCATTGGTTTTAACTACTGCTTTTTATTAGGTTACAGTATATGTTACTGTACTAACATTTGTATAAATTTTACCTGCATGCTGTGAGCTGAAATACACTATATTGCCAAAAGTATTGGGACGCCTGCCTTTACGCGCACATTAACTTTAATGCCATCTCAGTCTTAGTCCGTAGGGTTCAGTATTGAGTTGGCCCACCCTTTGCAGCTATAACAACTTCAACTCTTCTGGAAAGGCTGTCCACAAGGTTTAGGAGTGTGTCTATGGGAATGTTTGACCATTCTTCCAGAAGCGCATTTGTGAGGTCAGGCACTAATGTCGGAATAAGAAGGCCTGGTTCACAGTCTCCACTCAAATTTATCCCAAAGGTATTCTATCGGGTTGAGGTGCAGACCAGTCAAAGTTCCCCCACCCCAAACTTGCTCATCCATGTCTTTAAGGACCTTGCTTTGTGCACTGGTGCGCAGTCATGTTGGAACAAGAAAGGACCATCCCCAAGCTATTCTCACAAAGTTGGGAGTATGAAATTGACCAAAATGTCTTGGTATGCTGACACCTTAAGAGTTCCCTTCACTGGTACTATGGGGCCAAGCCCAAACCTGAAAAACAACCTCATACCATAATTCCCCCTCCACCAAACTTTACACTTGGCACAGTGCAGTTAGGCAAGGACCATTCTCCTGGCAACCAGCAAACCCAGACACGCCCATCGGATTGCCAGACAGAGAAGCGTGATTCATCACTCCAGAGAACACGTCTCCACTGCTCAAAAGTCCAGTGGCAGTGTGCTTTACACCACTGCATCCGATGCTTTGCATTGCACTTGGTTATGTAAGGTTTGATTAAGCTGCTCGGCCATGGAAACCCATTCCATGAAGCCCTCTATGCACTGTTGTGCTAATCTGAAGGCCACAGGAAGTTTGGAGGTCTTTAGCTATTGACTCTGCAGACAGTTGGTGATTTCTGCGCACTGCGTGCTTCGGCATGCGCTGACCCCGCTCTGTCATTTTATGTGGCCTACCACTTTGTGCCTGAGTTGCCGTTTGTTCCCAGTTGCTTCTACTTTGTTATAATACCACTAACAGTTACCCATGGTAAATATTTAGTAGCAAGGAAATTCATGGATGGACTTATTGCACACGCTTGAATTCACTGAGCTCATATGAGTGACCCATACTTTCACAAATGTTTGTAGAAGCAGTCTGCATGCCTAGGTGCTTGATTTTATATGCCTGTGGCCATGGAGGTGATTGGAACACCTGAATCTAATGATTTGGAGGAGTGTCACAAAACATTTGGCAATATAGTGTATAAACAAGCAGATGAATGGTTTAATTTCAATGTGATTTAGACTATTTCTCACTCATGGTGAAGCTTTGGTGTAACTTGTGCTTTTACAGAACCTGATTATATGGTCTACACGTTTGTTTTATAATACAGCACTATCATGTACATATTATTTTAGTTGTTCTATGTGTGTGTGTAATCATTATGAGTTCACTCACAATGGCAGGTGCTCATTGGTCAGCACAACCATGAGACCATACTGACAAATGAGAACCACATCTGAGGCTGCTTTTGCCAGTAAAGTGTCCCAGAGGAAGGAAGCATGGCAACACTGGCCAATGAGTGCTTGTAATAGCAAGACTTATGATATATACTCACTCCAGGGCTGTGTATTGTCATGTACAGTGTACAGACCAATACATCAGTAGCAAGAGGCATCACAGCCCCCGAATGCATGTTCAGTGGGCTCCAGAGGGGTGGCCAGGATACATATTTTTCATGAAAGGGTGAACTTACCCTTTATGGTATAGTGGTGATTAACACAGAATTGTATATTGTACTACTGTGCAGTATTCTAAGTACAGTAGGATAAATAATAGAAGGAAAAACAGTTCCTGTCTCTGCAGTGTCACAAAATCAGCACTTGATTCAAGTGACATGAATTTATTCAGTGTCATATGATAGCCAATTTAGACTTGTGTGTTGGTGATCAGTGGTGTTAAATGCTTTTTTTTTTTTTTTTTTTTTTTAGGGTCTTGCATTTAAAGACTGAAGAAAAAAAATATTTTGTCCCTAGACCCCTCGAAGCCAAACTAGTACAAATGCTATCTGCATTTATTATTCTAATTGCCTTATAATATTCACCCTCATTAAATGATGTGCAGGTTGAGCACATCTGCATAACTGATTCTGACTATATTAAGAACACTTGTTTTTATTATACTACCTGCACCAATTAACACATCATTATAATGTATTTATTAGGTAGGAGAGACCTTTGTGCTCACAATTTTAATTTCATGTAAGGCATTTGTGAGAACAAAAAAAGTTATAAAAATAAAATGCATTTAGTTAAGCCTTTCAGTTTTTTGTCTTTCAATTGTTTTAACGTATAATGTGCAAGCTTTCACAAATTTGATGTGTAAAATCATACCGTTTTGATGACTGAATAGTCAATCTAATTTGACCTATAAATTGAAAACAACAAGGACAGGCAATATTTTTAATAACTGAAGATCTATTCACACACATTGGATTTGCAAGTCTGACCTTTTTCCCTACAGGAAATTATTATGCCAAACATTTTAGCATATTACCAGAAACTGTGTTGTCAGTTGAAAAAGTGCACCAATTGCTGCTCTAAAAATGTATCAATATCCCAAAATATTAAATACATTTAATAACTGGAGAGTGCAAAATCTGGTGCAGTTCTGCATAGAAACCAATCAGCTTGTAGGTTTTGTCAAAGCTTAATTGAACAAGCTGAAGTTAGAAGCTGATTGGCTACCATGCACAGCTCTACCAGATTCGGAGTGTTCCAGTATTGGTAAATCTTCTCCCATGTAAATCAAATGTGTACAGCAAACCTTTTAAAAGAAAACCACAAAAGCTAGTGAAACATGGGGGGGGGGGGGGGGGGGTTACTAAAACTGGAGCACATAGAATCCTAATTGAACAAGCTGAAGTTGGAAGCAGATTGGTGGATGACAAGCAAGCATGCATAACCTTCTACCTTCTTCCCCCTTCTTGGGAGAAGCCTGTGCATTCTTGCTTGTCACCCAACACTGCAGAGTGATATGGACCTACAGTGAGCGGGTGAGAAACACTGCAGTACAGTAAGAAGGTAAGAGGCACCACTGTTGGACACTGTGTTGTAACTTCCTGTTGGTAGTTCTCACTGATGTGGATCTGTCAAATGTGGGAGAGAAAGCTGTGATTGGATTGGTGCAATGTATAAGGTAGGCTGAATTCATTGTGATTTTAACTACTTCTCATCCAGCCCATGTATATAAACGGCCGGATGGGGGAAGTGCAGGGGCGGGTTGCCATTCAAAAACGGCACCCGCCATTTTAGCCTGTGCGCGCTCCCTGGGAGCACATGTCCGGAGGACACAGCGGTACACCGATTGCTGTACGGGACCTCTGTGTGAGGTCCCGGCCATGTGATCACTGATTGGCCAATCAGTGATCACATGAACAGTAGTAAGCAAGATGTCACTTCTGACATCATTGCTTACTACTTGTGAAATCTGTGAATAAGATCACATGGTACAAGGCTATTCACAACAGCCTTGTACGATGTGACAAGCTGTGACCAATCACAGCTCGCACAGTATTTCTCAATGGCTGCAAGAATGCAGCCAGAGAGAAAGAGAAAACAATTGCTGTTATAGCCTTTATGGGTGTAAAAGCAATCAGTGTAAAAAAAAAAAATCTTCATCACCCCCCCCCCCCCCCCCCAAGTAGTAAAGTGTCACTATAGTGACACTGTACTACTAGGGTGACAGTACGTTAAAAAAAAAGTGTTGTATGACCGCGCAATTGTCATTCAAAGTGTGACAGCGCTGAAAAGCTGAAAATTGGCCTGGACAGGAAGGGGGTAAAAGTGTCCGGACTTGAAGTGGTTAAATGCTGTTTTTCCACTTTCTAAGTATTTTATACAATTTTAAATAAAATGTTATATTGTTCACATTTTCTTTTTGTTGGCAACACTGAGGACTGATCAAATGAGGATGAATATGAAGGTAGCTCTCTGAAAGTATAATCAAGGTCTAAAATGCTGTGAATTAACTACATTCACAGCATTTTAGACCTTACAGACTGAAGGTCAGCTACATCCGGTGACTTTTTTGTGCAGACATCAGGGCAAGGTCAGTGAGCGAAATGTTGGTAGTTTATTACTCAGTGATGTTCACATCACATTGTGGATGAGAAGAATTCAACAGTGATGGACACTTTATTTTATAATGTTTCACTATGTTAGAGACTTTTACAAGAAGTCACTTAGGTATTTTTCAATAGTTGTTGTGGTTTTCTTTTAAGGGGTTTACTGTATGCATTTGATTTACATGGTGTATTTTC